GTGTGTGTGTGTGTGTGTGTGTGTGTGTGTGTGTGTGTGTGTGTGTGTAATACACAATGCTGGAATTTGTTTCACTCGACTATACATATGTGTTATAAGGGTTTTATTTTTCTTTTTCACTGGGTGTATATTTGGGAAGTGAGTGTGGGAGGAAGAAAAAGTGGATCTTCTTTTTTCTTTTTTTTTTTTTTAACAACCATGAAAGTCTTAAGAACTTTTATCAGCACACTGACCAACCATGATTTCAAAGTGCTGATGAGGAAGCATCTCACCCACCTCCTGACAGAGAGGTGACTCAGTATTACAGAATGAGTTACACATTTTTGGATATGGCCAATACAGGAATTTGTTTTGCTTGACTATGCATAGTTATCACAAAGGGTTTCCCGTCCCCTTCTTAGTAAGGGGAGAAGTGGGAGGGAGAGAAAATGCAATTGAAAAAAAATTATTTTAAAAAGTAGTAGAGTTGAGATTTGAACCGGTCAGTCCTCTGGCTCCATATCCAGCACCCTTTCCACTGTATTCTGTGGGCAGCAAATAATATGCTAGTAGATCGCATGGGGTCAGGTGGTTTCTTTACAACAACTCTTATGATCTACAGGAAACCTTCTCCAACTCTTCTTAATTCCAGTGCCTTCCTTGGTTGATTATTTCCTATTTATCCTGTATATAGCTTGCTTTGTATATATTTGTTTGTGCATTGTCTCTCCCATTAGATTTTAAGCTCCTTTGACCCAGCAATAACACTTCGAGGTCTGTATCCCAAAGAGATCATAAAAATGGGAAAAGGACCCACATGTACAAAAATGTACATGTACCAAAAAAGCAGCTCTTTTTGTGGTGCAAAGAATTTGAAATTGAGGGGATATCCATCAGTTGGGGAATGGCTGAACAAGTTGTGGTATATGAATGTAATGTGCTTATAGCACAACTATTGTGCTATAAGAAATGATAAGCAGGCAGAATTCAAAAAAACTTGGAGAGACTTCCATGAACTATTGCAGAATGAAATGAGCAGAACCAGGACAACATTGTACATAGTAATAGCCACAGTATGGGATGACTGACTTTGATAGACTTGGTTCTTCACAAAATCTAAGACAACACAGAATCTAAGACAACTCCAAAAGATTCATGATTGGAAACTGCTATCCACACCCAGAGAAAGGAATACAGAGTCTGAATACAGATGGAAGTATACTATTTGCTTTCCTTTCCCTTTGTTGTTTTGTTTTATTGTTTCATTCTCATGGTTCCTCCCATAAGTTCTAATTGTTCTTTACATCATGACTAATGGGAAAATATGTTTAACATGAATGTGTATGTAGAGCCTATATCAGATTGTATACTGTCAGGGGAGGGGAGGGAAGAAATGGGAGGGAGAGAAAATTTAAAACTCAAAATCTTATGGAAGTGAATGTTGAAAACTAAAAATTAAAAAAACAGATTTTAAGCTTCTTCAAGGTAAGGACTGTCTTTTGCCTCTTTTTGTTATCCTCAGGCTTAGCACAGTACTTGGCATATAGTGGGTGATTAATAAATGTTTATTGATTGATGATGCAGATAGGTAATTTATGCATTATTAATACTCATTTAACAGATGAGCAAGGCTGGATGCTTATCATTTTATTATGCAAAAACCTTAAGAAAATGTGCCCCAACTACTGACTTCGTAAATGGAAACATATGATACAGTAGAAAGAAAATTGGATTTGGAGTCAAAAGATATATGTTTGAGCCCAGGGTGCACTTACTAGTTGGTGACCGGTAGGTAAGTCACTTTACTTTTTCCAGTATAAGGAAGACAATAACGCTCATGTCATCTGCCTCACAGGATTATGATGAGTAAAGCAAGTATAATTGTGAGTTGTTCATTACAATTCATCTTCCTATATGGCTCCCATTTCTTTTTCATTTCTTTGTCCCCTTATCCTTTGCCCCTTGCCATTCAGTGTCTTCTAGCCCTAGATTGGATGGGGTGGTGGTGATGCTTGACCTGAAAAAATTCTTAGTTTCGCCCAACTTGGGTTCCTCTAGTCTGGCTTCTCACCTTGGTGCACAGGCTTGTCATAGACTGAGAGGTTCAACCACTCCTCTCCCCCTAGAGAATTTCAGAGTGTCCAAATAGTCCTTTCCAGCTCCTGCAGTCTGACTCTGCTTCCCAACTGCCACTCCTGCCTGCCAAGGCTAATG